GCAAACGAGCACATATAGGCGATTGGCGGGCTATGGACCCGCTGATCGCCTATATGTGAAACACCCGGTACCGGGTGTTCGCATTGGGCGGGTCTTTTCTGCCCGTGCGTGCCCGCTAGGGGGCGCGCGCAAGCAGAAAAAAATTCCGTCTGGCGACGGCAACCCGCCAATGCGGCAGTGCTGTCCGTCCGTTTTTCTACTACGGGCGGACGGCAAGAGGTTAAAATCTTAACAATGTAGCCTGTATCCCTTAAAGAGACCCTGCACCAGGGCAAAGTGACAATGTCTCCGCAAAAGTCCCTCCTGCTCCCTTATACCTACGTTTTCCTGCACTCCTTGCTACTTCTTCCTCTATTGCAGCCAGCAGTGAAATCTGTGATGTCACTCCCTCCTGTTATGTGGCAATGCTTATGGCGTAGCCATTGGCCGCTAGGCCCAAACACTGTCTCAGGGAAGGAGGTCACATGCTCTATCATACCCAGAAGTGCCAAATTTACCAGATGTGCCAAACATAATGCAGTAGTACAAGGTAATTTAAAGTGACACTAAACTCCAGGAGTTAAATCTTAAAAATGTATTCAAGTACCCTAACTATTAACAAAAATCTATCTTATTTGTGTATCACTCAGCTGTAGATCGTCAAATCATCTCTGAATTTGTGCTGATACTGTCCTTCCTTCTGTAGGATGACGATAAACTCAAATGTGAGATTGTAGTCCATCACAGGAGTGAGCTTGGAGCAGTGGCTACTTTACAACACACACAGGAACCATGGTGAACAAAAGTAGAACCCTCCAGAAGGAAGGACAGTGTCAGTATGAATTCAGAGATGATTTGAGGATCTACAGCCAAGTGATACACACATAAGATAAATTTCTGTTAATAATTGTTATAACTTAGTAACATAGTAGGTAAGGTTGAATAAAGGCAAGCGTCCATCCAGTTCCACGTATGTATGTATGTATGTATGTATGTATGTTGAGCTTGGAGCAGTGGCTACTTTACAACACACACAGGAACCATGGTGAACAAAAGTAGAACCCTCCAGAAGGAAGGACAGTGTCAGTATGAATTCAGAGATGATTTGAGGATCTACAGCCAAGTGATACACACATAAGATAAATTTCTGTTAATAATTGTTATAACTTAGTAACATAGTAGGTAAGGTTGAATAAAGGCAAGCGTCCATCCAGTTCCACGTATGTATGTATGTATGTATGTATGTATGTATGTATGTATGTATGTATGTATGTATGTATGTATGTGAATGTGTTTCTGTGTATTTATCTTGCACTAACACTTCCCATATCCCTGTAAATTAAGTGAAAGAAGAAACTCATCAAGAAGTTTCTTGAATTTATCTACACCCTCAGCGCATACCACAGCCTGTGGAACGGAATTCCACAACTTCACTACTCTCACAGTAAAATACCCCCTATCAATCCTAAGACTGAATCCCCTCTCATCTAACCTCCTGTTGTGTCCCCGGGTTCTCAATACATTTTTCGTACTGAACGGTTTGTTCTGAATATTGTGGTCCCCATTGATGATTTTGTAGACAACAATAAGGTCCCCTCTTAATCGCCTCTTTTCTAAGGTGAATAAGTTTAATGTTTGAAGATGGTCTTCATAACTCAGGCCCTCCATCCCTTTCATTAACTTTGTAGCCCTTTCTTCAGCTCGAGGACCTCCTTCCTGAGAGTTGGAGACTAGAACTGTATCGCATACTCAAGATGGGGCCGTACCAATGATTTATAAAGTGGAAGTATTCCTCTTTTATCCCTTGCTACAATCCCTTATTTAATACACGCCAGTATCCTGTTTGCTTTGCAGGCTGCTGCTTGGCATTGCTTACTATTGCCCAATCTGTGATCTATGAGCACCCCCAGGTCTTTTTCCATGTCCGACTTCCCTAATGTAGCACCCCCAAGTGGTAGTTTGCATACACGTTCTTTGATCCTATGTGCATAACCTTATATTTTTCAACCTTTAATTTGCATCTGCTATCTTGTAGCCCAGGCCCTTAAATTTATGTAGGTCTTGTTGAACTGCAAATATCTCATCTCCTGTTCAGAATTTACAGCCCCACACAGTTTTGTATCGTCTGCAAAAACCAAAATTTTACTATTTAGTCCAATCTCTGTCGTGGATGAATAAGGTTAGCAGAATCGGTCCCAGGACTGAACCCTGTGGCACCCCACTCACAGCCTTTGCCCAATTAGAAAATGACCTATTTATTACTACCCTCTGGATTTGTTCTTGCAGCCAATTTTCCACCCATGTACTTACATTTTCATCAAACCCTATAGACTTTATTCTATAGAGTAAACGTTTGTGAGGGACTGTATTGAATGCTTTAACAAAGTTCAAAGT